CATTTAAAATTTAAAAATAGTTAACTATCTTCTGGATAATTTGATGAAAACCACCATATTAGAATTTGGATGTTACTTTAATCTGCTGCTCTCTGAGTCTTAAAATGTGTTGACAGAACTTTCAAGTTCCACCTAGGAACTGCCCTCACTAATACCTCAGTTTTCTTCATCAAGAACTAGTTACCGGCTTCATAACTTTTACTTTGAAACAAACAGGTTTTCTGTCACTGTGAGATACGTTTAATTATTCATTTTACATGTACTAAAGTAAAAAGGGTGGGACTGACATTGAAATTAAGTCTCAAAAACTCATTCTTTCTCCTAAACTGATGTTCACAACATAAGAATTATAATAACTATATTCCGAATAATGAGTTAATACATATTGCAGAATTCTCAACATGCTCTATTGAGAAGTATGTAGTGCTTCTTTAGAATCTGCGAGTAAGTTAATTATCACAGATATATCATTTGGAGAAGTAGTGTTGTATCCGAAGCACGCTTCGATAACCTGCTACGCTTTTTCCATATTTCCTCAAAAAAGAACCATACAATACATGAATGAAACCATCTGTTACAAAAAATTTGTAATTTTATTAAATAGAATGATTTTTATCCACCATTATTATCTCTGAAAAGTTGAAATCACCAGTAGTTATATATCTTCGGTCTGATAGACATCAGAAGTACAGCACAAATAATGGCTGTCAGCAAAATAAACTGATTAGAAATCGGTTAGGGAACTATTAGAAAACCTGGGAGTACTCGATAACCACTCCATCTATGTCTGGGACTATGCATCAATACACACCTACCATAGGAGTTCGAACCCGGGACCTCTAGTTGCAAGGCGAGCTCATAGACCATTAAGTCACTGGGACCCAACCAATGGCAACCCCATGAATTCCAACTTCTGCTGATTCACGATATGGCGTGACCACTAACCAGTGTCATCCGTGGAGAGTATTTATCCTCACACCCTACCTGCTGTATCCCACTGGTCACGACTTCTCACTAGAGCTCACCTTGTAACCAGAGGTTCCGGGTTCGAACCCCTATAGTAGGTGTGTACTGATGCATAGTCCCAGAATGTAACGAAGTGGTTGTTGAGTACTCCCAGGTGTTCCAATGGCTCTCTAATTGATATCAGCTCATGGCGAATACCTGTAACCGATCAAACACCTGGAAACCAACATTTCATTAGGAATCATCTGAGAAAAAAGTAACTTCTGCTCTCTTGAAGACTGCAAATGTAAAATTAGTTTTATACGAGAAACAACAGTGTTCGATAGTCAGTCTGTTGACATGATGTTCCATGCATTACTTTGTGGTTATTTTTTAGCATTTATGAATCAAATGAGAAGAGTACAAATCTTCATGATCATAAATTTCTTTAAAATAAGAAAAATATGTCTCACAGATGTGAAGTACTTCAGTATTTGTTTCATGCTAACATTTCTGTTTATGAACTTTGGGAGAGCAGTAAAATTAATGGAACAACACACAACAGATACATTTTATTTCGTCAATATCTTGTCATTTGTGTAACACTTGGCCAATCGAAGTGAATAATCATATTACAATCTTAACATACTTTGGTCTGTTAAGTAGACAAAATATGTAACACAAAAAGATTATGTGATTTTTCGGAAAATTTGCTCAACAAAATTCTTAAAATAAAGTCCGTTAAACTTACTTAAATTCAAGCATAATGAAAACATGGTTTATTCCATGAAATGTCAATAACTAGACGTAAAGAGGCCAAAATAAAACAAGATACCCAGATAAAGCGAAAGGTCAATTATGGCATATTTTTAAACAAGGAAAACATATTTCAACCTTCTGATAATGACCATCTTGGAGAAATTCTGGAAGTCCTGGTTTTTCTGCTTACTCTTTATCTTGAGGTCCTCCTGGTTTATTTATTGTACATTAATTTATGAATTCCCATTGTAGCATTAAGAACACAATATTCATCGAAGGGACTCTTTTCAACGAATTTATTATCAATCTGTACTATCGCACATATATGGTTTTTATGAAATTATATCCGGTGATGGAATTATATCAAAAGTGTGAACATATAAAACAATAATAGTATGAAGTGCAATTCGTTGAAAAGTCTCTTAGCTGAATATTGTGTTCTTATTGTACATTGTCAGATTACTAAGAGCTAACTTCCTGAAGAAATCACACGGGATTTCCGTTTTCTAGAACCCATGTGATCAGTATCAGACTTCACAAAGTTTCTAAAACCTTTATCAGTCTTCTAGATGATGGACACATGTTACATATTTTCTGTGCTTTTTACTTTAGCTACTTACTCTTAGATAGTAGTATACGTCATACAGACACAATGTTCCCACAAATCAGTTAACAGTAGTTGATCAAAATCTACAAAATATTTTGTAATGTCTAATATTCATTTTGAAATTCCTGAAAATACTTGAGAAAACCGATCCCCTAAAGCTCCATCCTGGATCACTTAATCGAATATGGACACCAAGCTAACCCACAAAACAACCTCAAATTTATCTACGGAATATGTGGAAATCTCACTAAGAGAGTATGAATCAAACTTCTCCAAACCACAGAAGCAATCGCAATTCACATGTGAAATCCTGAACTCTGCATACAAAAGAAGTTTGTTCAGTCATTAATTCTACAATGGACCTGATCTATCTTAAGACCAAATACTTAATTTTTTGCTTTTTGTTACTTAATTGAATTATTTTCTTCCCCCACCCCCTGACAAATCTCTACCCCTTATTACCACTGTTATTAACTTGACTGTCCTCCAATTTTAGTTGAATTCTACTCAATCCCGTCAGTTATATTACGTCACTCAGCTTATTTTAGTTTTTACACGATTAACGCTTTCTGCATTACGTAATTTGTTATCTAAAAAATTTACAATTCTAATGACACATCTTTGGAAACATTCCTTTGGTTGCAAAGAAAAATGATATCACCGAAAAGAGTAACTCTTCACTGAACGCTTGCCCTTTTTTATATGACTCTTATTTGTTTTTGAGATTTGATGTCACCTGAGAATGAACATTTACCTCATGGTTAGTTCTAGTGATGTCAGTCAAAAAAACTATATGAAAACAGCTTATTTTACCAATAGAAGCAAATTAGAATCCAAATTAGTAATTCGAAAAATAGAATCACTCAAAATCATTCCCAAAACGCATTTATTTTATGCTTATATTGTCGGGCTTTGAATGAAATCTACCGAGTAAATGTACAAAAGTTTCTAAGTCGTATAGTATGACAATATTTCAAACTTTGGTGTACTGTAATCTAATCTAATATATTGGTAGGAGTCAGTTGGCCGGATGCAATGTAACAAGGCGTGGCACAATCACATAAACCTACCAAAATTTTTAATTTAAGATTACCTCTCTGATAGTTCTATTCCATCAAATAATTTACTTTCCAGCATGAAAGTAAACATGAACTCATACTTAAGTTTCTTTTGTAAGCAACAATTTATGTAATGAAGAAGAACTGCAGCTCAGATGGATTCTTTTGTCATCATTATGCTTTTGAATACTAAGATGAAATTAGCGTCAGCAATTCTATCTGATAGTTCAATGAAGCGTTTATATTTAAGCCACCAGGATCACACTAACAGAGCAAATTTATATATTTATGGCTAAAATTTAAGAAAGTCATAATGTCATTGCACATTAGTATCAGTAATAGCAGCTGCTGTTAGTGTGCCCAACTAGCCACATCGATCATTCAGTATTACAGAACGTTAATTACCAGAGAAAGTCTAAAACCAGCTAAATGTTGTACTGAAAAACAGTTTCGGTGTCTAAAGTTCCATACAAATGCCATATTGTTGAAATATGCAGTTTCTGAGTTGCAATAAACATTGATGCATATTTTGACATGGGTAACTTTTCAAATTTCTACTAACCTTTTCTGAAAACTATCTCTATGGACAGTGAGACAAATCAATTTATAATATTACTGTTCAATTTATTTCAACTTTATGTCTTTACAAACGGACGTAGGAAGTCATACTTTTTTTGAAGCTGCTGGTATTATAATCAAGGTTCTAGTATATGGAAATCAGCATATTTCCGAGCTGGAGTTTTCACTCTGATAACACTTATCATCCATATATATACATATAAGCATTTTATTCCAAAAAAGTATAATTATACAGTGAGAATTTTCAGCGTTTTTACACATATTGCAACAGATTACCTCCTTCTTTATTATGTACATATATAAATTTAAAATAATAATAATAATGAAACCACTACAAACAGAATGCTGGCGGAAACACAATGAATTATAATTAGATACTATCATAGATAATACATGTAATGATAATCTTTGCCTATAATTTGCATTTCAGTTAAACATTTAAGAAGTTTATGAGTTCTTTTCTGACATCTGACTCTTCACACAAAAGCCGTGCTAATGCTGTAAAGTAGAACCTTAATATTTAGTTATACGGGTATAAATTCTAATGAAGTTTCTTCTGGTCTTACCCGAAGGTATACAAAGAAAAAGTTGTGAATAAAGAGGATGTTCAGTATCGGACAAGATAACTTTAGCCAACTACTTGCAAGAAATGAAGTGCCTATTGACAATAATATCACTTGTTTAAGACAAAGGCACACTCCTGACCCTACTTACAACCTTCAGTATTCTACCTAATATGATATAGTCATTCTTGAGAAGTCTAGAGAAGAATAGGGGAGAACAATAAGGAAGAATAGTTAGGATACACGAATTAAAAAGATTTTAAGAGAAGAGGTTGATTTACTCCAGAAAGTCTCAACTTCTTTATATAGTAAGTCAAAGGAAGAATCTTCTCCGAAATCAACAGGATATGAGACGACCAACAGAGATTCGAAGAGAAACTGATGACGAATCTGCGCGGGGAAAGCCAATGTATATATATATGTATATGTATATAATATCCCAAGATAAGTTTTCCACCATATATTTATTTATATTCCGGAATATAATTAATTTTCTGTTACTAAATGTTTCTTTGTAATTCTAACAGATGAACTGGCAACGGTCATAGTAAAGTTAAAAGAAATGATAACCAAATCATTACGCGAAAGTCTAACACCTGAAAATACCCATTATGAATCAGTAAGTCAACATCTGGGCAATACAGAAGATGAAATAAATAAGCATAAAGATAAGTTGTCATCACTGCTGACACCTGAAGATGTGAACATGTTTGGAGGAAAGCAAACCATAAAGCTGTATTCCAATATTCCTGGATCATTATTCAAAGAGGCTTTAGAGTTCTATGAAAATACTCACAGTAAGTTAGTTTGATATTTTACAGAGCAGTTTTATCAGTTTCAGCGAATACTCAGTGCTAGTAGGTATCAAAATTCTTTTTTATTCAGGTGGTTATATGTTACATGAAAACGTTCATCGGAAGTTTTAAAAAAATACATTTACCTACAATTATTATAACATCCTTTGTGTGACGATGAACATATCTATCTACTTGAAAGCTTGTCTTTTTAAAATTTCATTAATATCATAATGGAATTTTTCAGAGAAGACTGATGAACGGTATATTAGTCAGTTCCAGTCTATAAATAGCAGAGTTTGGATAGGAAAGTGGGTGTCTTGTATCTACATCGTAATTTCAGTGTCACTCATCATACAAAGATATATTCAGAATAAAGGATACTGGTAAAGAGTTGATGTGCAAAATCGAATGATTTCAGGGCATGAAATCACCGAGTTCAGTGGACGTGTAATCACTCTAATAGGATCAGTTACTACAAAACATGCATTCATTTTAATTACGCATCTCATATATCTTAAGACATTTTAAGGTGTTATATAGGTAAAAATTGTTTTTCATATCTAACATTTATCTAATTATTATATATTTCTCTTTTCCTAAAAGTTACTAAAACAGCTGGAAGAATGGATATGTTAGTGGATGAAGTACTTCAGAACTACTCATCATCATCATCGTATTCACCAGGTTCTGGTGCTAATGGATACATTGAAAATGGTAATAATACGTATACTTCAAACAAAGTGTACAATACACCATTACTGAAAGCTCTTACAAATTCAAATGTTTATTACACAAATCATGATGAAGAGAAATCACCAGACACAAGAAGCTCAAGTACAGCTTTTCATGAATCACCTGAAATTATCAAACCTAATATCTTTCAGAAACATACACATCAGTCTACATCAACATCCAGAACAAATTATCCAGGACCTCCGCCAGAGTTCAAACTGATTTATGAGTAATTCTCATAAAACGATTCAGAAAATGCAAGTAGTCAAAAAACCTTCCCCTTTTTGCATACTTCATTTTACCTTTTTGAATCAGAAATCTATTCTTCTAGAAAATATCAAATATATACTCCTTTTAATTTTAAGATTTATTAATTTATTCTATTGACAACAATTTACTACAATAATGAGTGAGTAAAGCCCGTCGAAAAAATAAACATACCTGTGATATATTATCAACCTTTTTTAATACTCTATTTTTCAATCTATATGTGCGTATATATATATATATATATTATGTATGTTAACAAGTTTTCTTAATATCTTAACTTTCCAGTGTGTTTCAGACAAGTACTGACTGAAGCAGAGTGATAATCTTACTTTCCTTACTACTTAATTTCAATAATATACTGCTGTGTAACATATCTTGCTAACCGGGTTGTATTTACAACACGTAATCATCATTACCGACCATAGCATTAGTAATAATAATAATAATAGTGAAATTCCCCATCTCATATTATAATCTGCAATATTCTCAAGATACCGAGTAAGTAGTGTTTAATATATGACTATTGTTGTCAAAATCCTTTTTCAAATTTTCTATTATTTGGTTTATTATCATTTTGTGGTGCATAATAAACAGGTAAATTAAAACGGTATTCTGAGATGAGATAATTTATATACAATTATTCGCATACCTACTATTCATTATGTACTGCACACAGAGTGACTAATATTTAAATATATATATATATATATTCAAGAAATACCAGGCAAATTTTCACCGATCATTTGTGTTTTCAACATCATGGTAACAGTAATAATCATAATAATAATAATAGCGATGTTCAACGTTCAATGTATTCAATTCTGTTGGCGCGAAATTCAACTTTGACTAATAATGTTAACTTTTTCCTCTATTTAAAGGTTTTTCTCCCACCTTCACCCCTGTACAAGTTTCGTTTTCTCGCCTTTTTCATTCATAATCACATCTTATTTCTTAAACACACCTATTATGCCTGTGATGCATGACCACGATGCGACTGTATTGCGATCATCATGTAGAAATGTGTTTCTTTCAACTGAAAAGAGTACGATAATTCACTGTGATGAAACTTTACTTGAACAACTGTATTAATAAAAACGTTTCAGATCGTTTTCATTTTTTTTATTAAATTGGTTTTCAAATCTTTTCAATGCTAAGCAGAAGCTTTCACAATACAAATACTGCAAAAAACATCTAGGTAGCTAGAGACTTTATTTGATTCAGTTTAGATTTCCCCCTCGATTGACTGAACCGATTGATCAGACTCATTGCACAAGAGGTGCCTCTCGTGGCCCAAGTGGTGTAGTAGATAACACTTTGGGTTTGAAATTATGGGTACTGGGTTCCAGTCTCAATGGAAACACCATTACTCACTAGGGAATGCAGGTACATCCAGATGATGAGTCCCAAATAGGACGAAATGTGTGTACTCCATTCCACTACTAGTCACCATTTACCAATCGACTTCAAACCAGAAACTTCAATTGCCTCATAATTGGCTAATGTATACAAATACCTAAACTAAAGATACTTTATAAAATTTAACATGTCCTGAGAAGCATGATTCTATGCAGAAAAATGCTCACATCTTCTCTATAGGTGTAGCTGTTCATACTTTTAATTGATGTTTTAACTGTTTCTAAGTTTAAATATCACTCTTGAACAGTCTTCATGCACTTGCAATTGTTATTATTAAAGTTAAATGAGAGTTGAAGGAATTTCTGTTAAATTGGCAATGCGTAAAGTCCTTATTAGGGTAGTTGGCAGATAAATATCCAAAAGGAAATCAAGTCAGAAAAAGAAAATGTGTACTAGACTGTTTTGCAGGTCACTGAATGCGTGTACCAGTACTTCTTTGTTGCCTCTTCGATTAGCTTGCAATCAGACGCCCTTTCACTTTAAGATATCAAGTATCATTTGAATACCCTACAATAACTTTGAAGCGGTAGTTTGCAAAGATTTCATTTTCTTTATTTACAGCCAGATAATTATGTTGTATAATATACCTTAAACCCAATTATTCAAACCATTTTCATCATGTCACCTTTATGTATTTCCATGTGTGTGCGTCGGTGGCACAGTGGTTAGGATTCTCGCCGACCATGCACATGGTTCGGGGTTCGATCCACTGCCGACGCACACCCTATATCTATGGTCGGCCTGCAAAATTTGGGCTACCGATATCCATGCTGAAAATTCCATACTTGTACTGAAAATAGGGTGTGGCATCAAGCTGCATTCAAAATAAAAAAATAATAAATATGACAGGATGTGTTGGTATTTAGATCTGCACTAATAATGCTCATAACGTGACACGCATTTTAAGCCTTGTAACATATGCATGCTCCACGTCAAATGCTCACAAGCTACAATAAACTTCAGTTCTCGGCTTAAAAAATGAGTTTCATATGAACCTATCTGTTGTTCATGTGACATCTGATCAACATAACCTTGGCAATGTACTTCTCTACAAAACCGATACTACGCCGTCTCACTGGATTATCATTAAAAGTAGTTTGTATACTATTAGGCCAAAAAAGTGTATCGGGATAAAAATCAGTCTTTAGGCTAAGTGACTTCGTTTACTCCTTTCTGTATCGGCTTCAATCTATTTCCTCCCGGATGCAGAGGACAATAAATCCAACTGAAGTTTTCACAGAGTTATTCAAACGAAGAAATCATATCTGGGTTGGATAGAGAACGGACAAAAGTGATAATTCTGTGGTCTAGCGACATGTAATCGGTAAACGTAGAGGTTTAAATTCAACACGGAAGATTACCTTGGTGATTCACTTGATATGAACATTGCTTTTGAGGCTTGCATGCCTTTCAGTGTTCGCTTAACCGGAGACCGAGTGAAAGAACCAGGAATTCTGTCACATAGACATATGGTGCTGCATATAAAGAATGGTAACGTTAGATTTATGTACGCTATCATATCGCAGTTATCGAATTTGAGGGATTATCTTTTCAAGTAGAAAAAACATTCATATATAGCTTAGTATTAAGATCAGCAGCGATTACGATGTATTTTTGATTCTATTATTCACGGAACATTAACTGGCGCGCTCTTCGATGAATGCGTTGTATTAGAATGCTCATGTTTGCTGTTTTATTGTTTTTAAATTATATTTACGGTTTCGTGATTGATAAATATGATAACTAGTTTAACGTAATTCTTGTTGGTCAACATGCACTTGCAAGAAATTAATTTATTTGCTTATATATCTGTGACTACTGATAACGTAATAAATAGTCACTTGCAAGTTAGAATAAGTGGAGAAATGATAAAAGCAGATCCCCAATGTGTCGCTTAAATTCTTGAGATCCTAAAACATTTTAAAGAATAGATACGAACTGGAGCCCAAACTAGGCAGTCATAATAAAGTATTTTAAGAATTTCTATAAGAACATTGGAGCAATTAGAAGAACAGAGTGAAGTAGCATGACAAAGCTCGACAAAGCATGACTGTATTTTCCTACCTGAGATTGTTTTCAAAGAGTTAATTCATCTTTTTTTAAAATATGATAGAGACCATAGAACAGTGCACACTTTAGCAGTGACAAGTATAAAGTTGGTGATATGCTCACTTTTACCATCATGGGTATGTTGATATTTCCCGATGGAATATTCTAATTTTAATAATTAGTTGTTGCTAACTTTTGGTGATATCCAACAGTGTCTACAAAGCATATGGATACCACTCCATGCAAAACTTTTATTTAATTAACCATAAGATTTTTGTGTGTAGTGCGTGTAAAACTGATTCTTAATAGTGTGACATAGATTGTTGTTGAAAAGTTCCGAGGCAGTCTTGTTTCTCTGAAATAGATGGTGATTGGAGCTTAAGGAGACACCTGATGTAAACTAGTAAAATGCGGCTTATAAGCTAAATAATAATAGTATATTCTCATTTTTTACATGAGGGACGCCAGTTTACAGGCATCATCAATATGATAAATTACATATACGATTAGTAAGCATATTTAATAATAGTAATTTAATAAAATACATTTTTTCCTACCTGTGTAGGACACACCAATTGTACAGGCATGGATAAGTATTATTTAAATTACATAAATTTGGTTCATGGTAAAATTATAAGGTTGCAGTCATTTTGTCTATGGGAACAATATGATAACTAGTCATTCAATGGAGCACATCGAGAAATATAGAAATATTGTCTTCGCATTAACAAAAAAACCCAAGTATGTTTTGGATGGATTACAAATACTTGGGAAAAAAATAAAGCTTGAAGTAATTCCTCCATATAACTTTGGTGTGTACGGCATCGAGTCTTATTCTTGATTTATATCCAAATTTGATAATAATTTAAAATAAGTAATACACTTTTATACTTTTGTCAGCATTCTCTTCGTAACATCACAAGTGAATAGTACTCAAGGTAGGCTAATAATAATGACAGTCTGTATTTTCTTATAAACGGGTGTTTTCAAGAAATGCAAGCTATCTTTGCAGGTACAATCAGTTATGTTGTAAGTTACAATCGTAAAGTGTTATAAATCAATACTTTTTATTGGTATAAAGGTATATTTCACAACTGTAATCCAGGTTGCGTCGTTGGTGAAGGCAATGCGCAATTCACGAGGGAATTGTAAGATATGGGACCAATAATGTTTGCAGATCATTTGTCACTGTAAATGGGCAAATATCTACATTCTTCATTCTCACTCAAAAAGTCAAATGGAAGCTGAAATGGTGAGAGACAAAAGAAGACAAACAACAACAACGCGAAAGAGAGCGAGTGGAATACTTAGGGAGTGATTAATATGTAAATATACATTTATATTCTGTTTAGTAATTATAGTTATTTTGGTGCACTAACTAACTATTCCCGTGATGCTAACTTTTATATTGTGTAAACTAATATTATTGTCCTGTGTAAAAATGTCTGTCATGTACTTCCAATAATATAAAAATTTATAATTGTAGTTTGTTGTAACT